GGTTAGAGAGGGTGGGCCTGTGATCGGAGGGTCGCCGGTCAACCCCGACTCAACTTCCCGGACCGACAACATCAAAACGTGGGTGGAAAAGGTGAAACACCCACTTCCTCCACCCTCATTTACCTGCCCTAGGCCCATGAGCAAGCGGCCCCCAACCCTCCCCAGCTGCTCCCCAGGCACCTTAGATGGCAACCCACTGCCTCACATGTGTGCACACATGTGTGCACACATGTGTGCTCACATGTGTGCTCACATGTGCAATGGGAAAAATGCAGAGAATTAATTTCCCCATTGGGGATTAATAGAGTACAAAAATAAAAGTGCAACCCTCTGCACTCAGCAGTGTTTGTATTTTGTGAAGTCTCATTCTCACCCTTTAATTTTCAACATGTAGTGAGTTTTACTTGACTCTTGGCAGACTTTAAGTTATTTCAGTGGATGCTTAATTTTGTTTTTAAAGAATTTATGCATGAAATGTTGAAAACTGGTGTTTGAGCGCCCCCTGCAGGACACCGCCCGTATCTACCCTGCTGCTCACCGGAAGTCACGTGACTCAACGTCTGAACGTGCCTAGCTGCTGCAGCGGTGGATCTGTTCTTTAATGCGGACTTTCTGTCCCTAACTGTCCGCTGTTTACTGTCATTATAAACATGTCAGGCAAGTCGGAGCTAAAAATCAACTCCGAGTTTGCTCAGAGGTACGAAAAGTACCGGCAGAAGGAGGAGTTACAGAAGCGTGAGTGTCTACTGCTAGCTGGCTAGCGTAATGCTAACGAGCCAACGTGGGGACAAGTGTGGTTGAATTTTAAGGTCCGTTTGTTTTTCTCTGGTTTGTTTGTGCAGTGAAGGACCGGTTCGGAGACCGAGCCGATGAGGGCAGCGACTCGTCGTCTGAGTCCAGTTCTGATGACAGTGAAGTGGTTAGCATCTCCAGCTGCTTCTCCCTCTGAAGGAGAATTAAATGTTGTCTTAGTGCTTGTTTTTGTCTCCTGCAGGAGTTGGACCCTGATGTGGAGAGAGATTTTTACAGAACATTGTCCCTGTTGAAGAAAAGGGACCCAAAGATTTATGAAAAAGATGCCAAGTTCTACTCAGAAGGTGATAAAACAACTTTTAGCCTGACTTTTGCCATGTAATCATCTGATTATGTTGCAGACTTGATTTGAATCTTTGTGCTTTTAGAAACATCTCACGATGATGAAAAGCCTTCAACATCAAAAAAAGACAAAGTCAAACCCATGTTCCTGAAGGACTATGAGCGTAAAGTGATACTGGAGAAGGAAGGGTGAGATGTCACAAAACATAAAACTCTGCTTAGAAAAAAGTCAGTTCGCCCATGTAGCTTAAAAATAATAAATGACGGTGTTAACGTTATAATTCATTAAGTTACATTTCAGAAGTCTACTTGGTCAAAACTGCCAAAAGATTACTTTCAGACAAATAAAATATTGTGCATAAAGAACGTGAAGGCACATCACGGTAACGGTGTGTCCTACTTTGGCTACATTCTGAGTATTTTTAGTTATTTTAAGAAGAATTAACATCATTTGGTTTTAGGTTGACTGTTTCCAAGTTGTGTTGGCTCAGTTACAATTTAATGAAAAATGTTTTGTTTTTTTGGTTGCAGTGGTTTAAACGGTGTCAAAACATCCAGTTAATGTCTTCTGGTTTTCAACTTAGTTTGGTTTCTCAGTCACTTTGGACCTCATGCTGCTCCCGTCTGCTTTCAGGCCTTTAAAAGAGTAGTTGAAAAGAAA